GATAGCTATTTCCCTGATCCAGGATGATATCCAGGATCACATCCTACATTTAGATGTCATATCTCTTCAAACTCCTTTAAACAGCTCCCCAGCCTTTCTGGTCTATAATGACTGGTATTTCTTAAGAGGATAACACCTCATTTGGGGATTTATCTAATTGTTTTCTCATGATTCGATTCAGGTGGAACATAGTGGGGAGGAATGCTAAGTGACAGGCAGAGAATAAGTCAACGGGTAAATTATGTCAATTTGTTACTCTACTAATGATGTTAAATTGTTTAAATTTAGCCAGGCACAGGGGCCTGTAATCCCAGCACTTTGGGAGGCTGAGGCAGGAGGATCCCTTGAGACCAGGAATTCGAAACCAGCCTGGGCAATATAGGGAGACCCTGTCTCTACCAAAAATTTAAAAATTAGCCCTGCATGATGGCATGTGCCTGTATCCCCAGCTACTCAGGAGGCTGAGATAGGAGGATCACCTAAGCCTAGGAGGTCAAGGCTACAGTGAGCTGTGATAGCACAACTGCACTCCAGCCTGGGCAACAGAGTGAGACTCTGTCTTAAAAAAAAAAAATTGTTTAAATTTGATCACTGGTTTAAAGTATTCTCCATCATAAAGGTGTGTTTCATCTTTGTAACTAAGTAGTCCAAGAGTTGACACTTGGAGAATATTCTATTCCTCAACAATCTTTCACTCACTGATTTTAGCACCTGCTGGCCATTCTTACCTAGGTCACTTATTAATTACTAGGGCAGTCATAAAATAGTGGTTCTCTCTCCCATCATCCTTTTATATTTATTGAGGATTGGCACTCTTCAAAAGTATTTCATGACAACACCAACAACAACAAAAAGAACAAGACCACCTATACAAGAGGGTTAGAGTGAAGAAGTTCCCTGTGGAGAACTAAGCCCTGCAGAGGAAGAACACACACCCAAGTGAGGTCTGAAGTCAGTGCTAAATACACACAGCTCTGTGTTGGCTGCTATGAAGATATGCAGATATTTTCCCTATGGTTAATCTGGTTCAAAGGAATTCTTCCATTCTATTGTGTAAGTTGTGGATGTTTACCATATTCTTTGTCCCAAGATGATGATGAGATACTGGCACAGGATCTAAAGGAACTGCATTTTCAGGCTTCATACAATAACTTCTGACTTCCTCCCTGGAGTAGAGGAGGCATCTGAAAACATCACACTGAGAACATTGGACCTGACTGAAAACCCCAGGAGTTCAATTCTAAAGTATGTTTGGCCATGAAATTTTTTTTAACAGTATCTACCAAATGCCTTAAAATTATACTCTTTCATTCCTTATCTCACATGGCTTCAGTTCAAAGAAGGAAATGGTATTTATTTCCATCCCTTTCTATCTTGCTTATGGAGAGATACCCTGAGCCCTTAACACTGTATAACTTTATAAACTTAGGCTAATTGTCAGGGAATTAATCACTTTAATGCCATGGTCATGCCAATCCCAATGCTTCAAAGGTGCAGCCCCTACCTCTTGAGTTCCATCCTACCAAAAATGTTGACAAATAAACTCAAGGTAATATTTATTTTAGTTTAATTCAACAATCATAGTATAATCCATAAATACTCTGCCACCCTTGGACGTCATTTTTAAGTGCTTAACTTTCTGCCTTCCAAGTTGTCATAGAAAAAGTCCAAATCAATGTATGCTTATCACGTGCACACTATATAATAGTAGAAATCCATTATGAAATAATTGTCTTATGAATCACTATAAAGTTAGAAAATCCTAATCTTAGAATGAGTTATAGAAAGCTAGTCCAATCTCCTACCCAACGCTAGGCTCACATCTTCAGTATCTGAAACAGCGATGCCATCTCTATTTAAATGCCACCGGGGAAAGATAGCCCACAACACATAACAGTTCATTCCACTAATTGACAATAGCACATTAGACAGTCTGGAGATAGATATGTTTTGCATGTAAACCCACCAGGATACCAAAACACAGTGATAGAAAATGCAAATTTAAAGATGCAAATTCCTTTCAATGCTAAGCTTTTCTAAAACTTTGAAAGCAAAACTCTATCAAAATTTGATATACCAATATTAAGGAAGTTAACAGGTAATGTATATACAAATACATTTTCAGGCCAAGGAATGTGGGGATTTCTCCTGTTGTTGTTGTTTTTGAGACAGAGTCTCTCTCTATCACCCAGGCTGGAGTGCAGTGGTGTGACCTCAGCCCACTCTAACCTCCACCTTCCGAGTTCAAGCAATTCTCCTGCCTCAGCCTGCCAAGCAGCTGGGATTACAGGCGCCCGCTGCCATGCCTAGCTAATTTTTGTATTTTTAATAGAGACAGGGTTTCACCATGTTGGCTGGGCTGGTCTCAAACCCCTGACCTCAGGTGATACGCCCACCTCAGCCTCCCAAAGTGCTGGAATTACAGGCCTAAGTCACCACACCCAGCCGGGATCTCTCCCATTGTTCTATCTTGCCCTGAAACAGATCTATCTCAGTGCCACTAAGTCAAAACTCTACCATCTGTATCTTCCATGGAAGAGACCTGAGAATGTCACTTCATTTCCTTCTCTCGTCCACACTTGCTTTGCATATTTGGGCTCATTTGATTAAAAATCTCTCTATTCTCTTGATCTACTAACAATCCAGAATAAGTGGCCATGGTGAGTGATAAATATAAAGACATACAGATATGCAGAAATAGTCAATGATTTTGAGCCTGGGTGATTAAAAGGGTACTATAAAAGGCAGAAAGGAAATGAGACTTAATCTGGTTGGGAGAGACAGTTTGGGTTTGGAGATCTGAAGTTTAGGATGATGCAAAAATGCTCAGTGTATGGGTAGGAAATCCAGAAGAGATATCTATTTGAGTCACCAGTAGAGATAGCAGTTGAAAATATGACAGATCAATTTCCTAAGGAAAAGGGAAATGAGAGAAAGAACATCAGCAAAGACATCCACTTATACCCCCTTCAAGTATTCCCTCCTTGTATATGTCTTTATTTCCTAATTTTCTTCCAGTGAATACTCTCATTTTCCTAATAAGTTCTGTAAGATCAAGAATCAGAGGTCTCACATATTTTATCATAGGCTGCTGGGGTCATAGAAGATACAATAAAATCATTTTGGCTGGTTCTAATAACAAGCCAGAAATTGTTTTGAAATATCTCATATCAGTGGGATTTTATCAATGCTTATCACTTTCCCTGAACAATGAAGACTGCCTTCTACAAGTGGCCTGGAGAGTCACATATACTATCCCTTTGAGGTCGACACCAAAGGATGTCTTTATATTAAATCCATGCAACTCTTAAAAATCCAGCAAGTGCCAAGATTCTCACTGTTCTCTCTGTACAAAGTCAAAGGTAAATCTGTGCTTTTTGTCATTTTCAGACACTCCAGTGTATTTGCAAATATAAGTAGTTGTGATTTCATAATTTTCTTTCAATTTTGGCAAACAGACTAAAATACTTAAACTAGCAACAATATAATTTGAAGATAATTGCTACTTCATATCTGTACAGAGAACTGCATATTCTTAAAGTTCTTTATCATCAACTTTATTCATACACTGAAGATATTAGTAAAAAGCTCACTAAGTCTTTTATGTCACAAGAGCCCTGAGCTCAAGTCATCCTGGCCTTCCATAAATTTCCACCACTTAGTCCTTATTTTTTAATTTACCGATGTTATTTCCCATGCCTGGAACTCTTCTTCTCCCCACCCTGCTGCCCTCTATCTAAATTATCCAAATTCTTCCTTCTCCTTCATATTGTATCTTTGACTTCATTCAATCTATAGTTCTCCTTCTCTGAATTCTGATGATCATATATATCATCAGAATACATGTGTATATATAATCTCCAACCAATATATTCATAAAATCTTCAACATATATAATTATATATAATATAAATATACATAATCTCCAATTGGTTGTATATGTATATGTATATCTCCAACCAATCTAACATTTAGGTTTAAGTTTTCTTGTGTTATTTAGGAAATATTTCATGTAAGTTCTTTTTTAATTTTTCTCTCCTAGAATGTACCAGTAAGTTATTTGAAGCCAATCCTCACCTGAGATATATGTGTGTGTTCACTGGCACCAATCTATGACATTTTATGCATACAGAAGGCAGACAATATTTGTAAATCACTGAAATACTTCTTGGCATTTGTAGAATTTCATATAATTCCTTATCTACTTGGCCATTGAGAAATGCTTTTAAATCATAATATTGCATACTAGACCAACATAAATTCATTGTACTCATAACCCAATCCTTCAGGGAAGGTCCTATTTTGATTAAAAATGAAGGAGTAGGAGGAGGTAAAGCTTTTAGTATATTGATAGAACTGTTACTAATATTGCATTACTGTCCTTTATAATTTAAGGCAACATCACTGACAAAGATTAGGGAAAAAATCAATAAGTTATGAGTTATTAATGCAGGAATGAAAAGAAGTCCAATACCAAAGACACTGAAGCTAATAATATCTTCTCCTCCACTTGCTGACCCATTATAATCAGGCCTGGGCCTTTTTTCCCTAGTAGAGGTGATAAATGTTTACAGAGTGGCAGTTTCTCCCTGAGCTGTCAAAAGACCCTAATGTAATGAAACCAACCACTTCAGGCGCATTAGGGTCACTCTTTAACAAGTTAGGCAGAACCCACCACCCAACCACATCAGGATTCAAAGTTTCAAAGAGGATGGGGAATGTAGAGTTTGGAAAAGAGCAGTAAAAATGATCAGAAATAAATAGTCCAAAAGAAATAAAAACAAGGCCGAGTAGAGTGGCTCATATCTGGAATCTCAGCACTTTGGGAGGCTGAGGTGGGAGGAATGCTTGAAGGCTAGCAGTTTGAGACCAATCTGGACAACATAACAAGACCCTATTGCTACCAAAAATATACGTTTTAAAAATTGGCCAGGCATGGTGCCATGCACCTGTAGTCCCGGCTACTCAGCAGACTGAGGCAGGAGGATGTTTGAGCCCAGGAGTTTGAGGCTGCAGCGAGCTATGATCACAGGACTGTACTCCAGCCTGTGAAGCAGAGCAAGACCACATCTCTAAAAAAGAAAAAGAAATAGAAACAGCACCGTCTGCATCAGTCTCCACTGAAGTGCAGTGTTGAGGGGTGGTGGGGCAAGGCAGCACAAAGACAGATCATGAAGGAAACATCTCAAAAGCCGTAAGGAACAGTCCTGTGGTGGCAAAGAAGAGACAGAATTGCTGAAAGCAATGCTGACATCTCTAATTCTTATGATGAATGGAATTCCAGAATCTCTAGAGGCTCACAGGCACACACATACACACACATGTACCATGCATACACACACACCATGCATATACACACACACACACACACACACAGCCACTGTGCACATGCATTAGGTTGAAGCTATATTTGCTCATCACCAAGGGTTCCCACCACATTGAAATGAAACCAGCAGCTCCTTTTCACATCATAAGACTCCTATGAGAGGGATGGTTCATGTTTAAAAGTCTTACAAACAACTGTTTTAAATTGGGGGTTGGGGAGAAGAAATGGTAAGTTGCAGAGGGGACTGCTTAATGAACTGGGCTATTTAAGGCTTCCCTTGAAATCTAGCATCATTCTTGCCTTTTTCCTGCTAAATAAAGCCTCAAAGTAAGAGGAATGCAAAGATTGAAGAAGTAGAAACCATCACTGTAGAAAAACAAAGGTGGATCTGGCAAATGCAATGAATTTAGAGGGAATGTAAGTTTTGTTTCCCAGCCATCAAAAATAGTTTGATGGATTTGTGCCAAAATGAGAAATAAAAGCACACTCCTTCCTCCCTGCACCCTACAGAGCTGCCTTTGATGTCACATGTGCTCCACAGGGCACGGATGGAAACAGAACTCAGGCTCATTTAAAATTTTATTGTATATGGTTTGGTATAAGACAGTGTCCTTTAGACATTTACAAAAAAGTCATTTTCAGCACCTTCTTAGATACATTGAACTTTTCTTTTATGCCCTGGAATTTAAATCCATGCTTCCCTTTGGTTATACCTTCTGGTCCCAGAGACAGCCTTGGGGACTTGGCCCAGTTGCCTGGATCTGGTTCAGGAGCTGCCTGGATGGACGGCTTGTAGAGACTGAAGCTGACTCTCCGCAGCCACCTGGCAAGCGTTGGCCAGCTTTGCAGCCTTCTGGTCTCCCCAGCCAGCTCCCTGGGAGGCCTCAGGCCCTTCTCGGCTCTCCGTTCTGCCTTACCAGGCCTATGGGATGAAGTACAGCTGTCCATTCTTTATGCCTGGTACCCGCCATAGAAGGGAAAAAAAATACCACATTTGGAATAATAACAACTACATTGCTGGTTATGTTTCAAAATCAACCCATCTTCAAAATCAGGGACTTCTTTTGTAAGCCTCATTACAGCCTTAAGTATAGAAATGTTTATATTGTTTGCTTTGTTTGGTTTTTTACCTAGATACTGAGCTTAGAGTGTGGACTCCTGTCAAGCCAGTGTCACATAACTAGGAGCTAAAAGATCAGAAAGAGAGAGAAACAAAAGCATTCTATATTTTCAAATGCATTAATTCACCCAGTGTGTGGACTCTAAAGAGGGAAAAAATAAAAATAGATTTTCAGCATAAGAAATTTAGTCATGGAATATTAGCATATACCATCTTTTTTCCGGAAGGGAAGCTACAACTAAAAGAAATCATGAAGACCAACTAACCCAATTGTTTAAAGAGGAGGAAACTGCTGCCCAGAAGTTAATGGCTCAGATTAAGAGTGTCAAAGAGACACACAAGTCAAATAGAAGAAGTCTCCACTGGCCAAAGATGGGGCAATATGAATATCAAAAGGAATTACTGCAACTGATTCAAATATACTCAAACGCATCCACGGGTTTTTAATGAGTTGATAAGATGTTCCTCCCACTCCTTTCCCTCTTCCCCAAAAGGTAAAGAACAACTCCCTGGTTCCCACCAAGGCAGGATGCCAGGACCCCAATTCATTATTCAGAAAATGGATCAGTAACAGAAAAGAATGACGAATGGATCTTGCTTTTTCTTTTCAAACTATATTTCAGAATACCAAATAAGTAAGGATAAAAAATTGATCCATATTAAAGAATTCCAACTAATAAATGCAGAAAGAATGATGGAATTCTCTCTAGAAGTCTATTGCAAAAACCATTACTTAGGGTAATGTTGGTTGATGAGGAACCTTATAAATGATGGACCAGGTATACAGCTAAGTCTTCTGACCAATGTTAACTCACTGAAGTTGGGACAAACAGATACTATGTCTCTCCCAATGAGATGCACTAGAAAGTACATAGCACCAACTATAAAGTGATCTTGCCTAGAAAAAAAAAAGAAGAAAAGAAAATTTGAGCCCTAATATTATCAGGCCTGTTGATCTATGAGTTTATACGAAATATGGGGATAGAGGCACAAGTTAAATGATACTACAAGGAAGCAATCAGCCCAACCCAGAATGTGGGACATGCTATAAGGCAAAAACCTGATGTCTCCAACAAATAAAGGGAATTAAAAGGGGGAAAGGAGTGGAAGGGGACTATTATAAATTTAAAAATATTTAAGAGACAAAGCTGCTAATTCAATAAATGTACTTCATTTGGCTCATAACTTGAGCAACTACTAAAACAAAACAAAACAAAAAACTTTGCAATTTGCAATTGAAAGAGATATCCAATAAAATGTGAATATGAACAGTGTTAAAAGGAATTAAGAAATTATTGTTAATATTTTGCAATATTTATGTTATAGGTATTTATACATACAACTAAATACTTGTTAGGAATGCATACTAAAATATTTTGGCATCTATATTTTTGTAAAAAGGAAGTTAATGACTCGGTTGGGACTAGAATCTGCTCTTATGGTACCCAGCACACACTGATTTAATTATAACCAAATTCAAAGGAAACACAAATAGTAAATTTTTTTAATTCTTAAAAAAGAGCAACACCAACCGTCATTTGTGTTCTCTCTTCCCTGCATTAGTAAGACACCATGTATGTTTGAAGACCATAGACATTTTCTTCCTCTTGAAACAACAAAGACATATAAATAGGATTACATAATAATCTTATAGATTACATTAGTTACAGTGGAGTTTTGTGCATTGGGTGAGTTAATCTCAATGTAAATAAGAAAAGTCTCCCTAGACAAAAAATATCTCACACACACACACCAAGAGCGTTTCAAATTCTCATGTATACTTTACACATGTGATATGGAAGGAATGATACACTGAGCCACATAACTTTGATTACTGTATCAGATTAAATTTAGTCTAAAGAGATAACACACAGGACAACTAAGAATCCGCAAACATACAGAGCTGAAAAATCCACAGTAAGGGTCCTTAATTACTAAAGATATAAAAGAAATGGGTGTCTAGAAAAGCAAATTCAGAATGGAGAGGGCGAGAGAACAAAAGAAAAAAAGGAAGAACGAGAGAACAAAAGCAAAAAAAGGAAGAACAAGAGAACATAATCAACACCTCTTCCAAATCTTAACTCTCAACTTATCCCATAATTGTTAAAACACTTTTTTTAAAAGTGTGACACAAATGAAAACATACTCAAAGCGTAAAAACATAACATTGAAAAAAAAAAAAAAAACAGAAAAGATGGTCCTCAAACTCTCACTTCTCTCACTTGAATCTCCATCTTCAATGAACAGCATGAAAGAAGGACATACAGGGTTTTAAGCTGTCAGTGGTCTAAGAGCTGAATATCATATAAGCCACATGCATATTAAGTAGAAACAACAAAGTTTCAGAAACAATGACAGGTGTGCAACTTTCAGTGTGTGGTTCCACATGTAAGCAGTTTGGAAGCTGCCACTCTAGAATTCTGTACTCTGCTAAGTTATCCTTCAGAAGTGAAGGAGAAATAGCAACTTTCTCAGACAAACAAAAATTGAAAGAATTTGCTGCCAATACACCTGCCTTGGAAGAAATGTTAAAAGAAGCTCTTCAAAGAGAGAAAATGATGAAGGTCAGGAACTTGGATCTACATAAAGAAAGAAAGTACATTAAAAAAAGGTGTAAGTAGAGGTAAAATTTAAATTTCTTTAACTTTTTTCTTTTCTTTTCTTATTTTTTTTAAGAAATGGGGTCTTGCATATTGCCCAGGCTCTGGCATCAAACTCCTGGGCTTAAGTCATCCTACCACATTAGCCTCTTGAGTAGCTAGGACTACAGGTATGTGCCACCATGCCTGGCTTCTTATTCTTAATTGACCTTACAGAAGTTTGTTCAAAATAATAATAAAAACAATGTATTCAGTTACATATTCTTATATACAGATATTTTATGTATGTATATATGTGTATATAGGTATCTATGTTACACACTCATATATGCTTTTGTATAAGTGAAATGGATGACAAAAAGGAATGAGAGGGAGGAATTAGAAGAATTAGAATTACTTTATTATGAGGTACTTATACTACCCATGAAGTAGCATATTGCTATTTGAAAGAGGACTTGGATTACCTGTATATTGCAAACCTCAGGGCAACTACTAAAAAAGAAAACTTTAAAAAACAGTATAACAGAGATGCTAAGAAAGGAGAGAAAATAGAATCATATAAAATGCTCAATTAAAACCATAAAAATTAGAAAGAGTGTAACACAGAGAAACGAAAGAACAAGGGCAAAAAATTTAAAATAGTAATAAATATGGCAGATACTAACCCAATTATATCAATAATCACTTTGAACATCAGTGATCTAAATGCACCAACTGAAAGACAGAAATTTTCAGAATGGATCAAAAAAGTATGACCTAATTGTATTTTGTCTATAAGAAACCCATTTTAAATACAAAGTCATATATAATTTTAAAGTAAATGAATGGAGAAAAAGATATCATGATAACACTAACCAAAGGAAAGCAGGAGTAGCTATGTTAATTTCAAAACAGGGTAGACTTCAAAACAGGGAAAGTCATCTGGGACAAAGAAAGCCATTACATAATAATAAAGGGGTCAATTCTCTAAGATAATATAACAATCTTTAACATGTATGCATCTAACAACAGAGCATCACATTACACAAAGCAAAAACTGATAAAACTGCAAGTAGAAACAGATGAGTTTACTCTTACAATTGGAAATTTCAACACCCCTCTATCAGTACCGGACAGATCCAGCAGGCAGAAAATCAGTAAGGACATAGTTGAATTCAACACTAGCATCAATCAGCAGCATATCATTGACCTGTATAGACTACTTTACCCAACAACAGCAGAATACATACTCTTTTCAAACCTACATGAAACATTCACCAAGACAGACCACATTAAACACACCTTAACAAATTTAAAAGAATAGAAATCATACAATGTCTTCTCTCAGATCACAATGAAATTAAACTAGAAGTCAATAACAAAAAGATAAGAAAATCCTGAAATATATGGAGAATTAAATAACACACTTCTAAATAACACATGGTTCAAAGACTGAATCTCAAGATAAATTATAAAATATTTTGAACTGAATGAAAATGAAAATACAACTTGTCAAAAATTGTGGGATGCCACAAAATCAGTGATCTGAAGGAAATTTATAACATTGAATGCACGTATTGTAAAAGAAAAAAGATTGAAAATTAATAATCTAACTTTCCACTTTAGGAAACTGGAAAAAGAAGAGCCAATTAAATACAAAGTAAGCAGAAAAAAAGAAATAAAAACTAGAGCAGAAAACAATAAAATTGAAAAGTGGGGACTCCATAGAGAAAAAAGAAGTCAATGAAACCAAAAACTAGTCCTTTGAAAAGATTAATAAAATCAGTAAGCCTCTAGCCAGGCTAAGAAAAAGAGAGGACACAAATTACTAACATCATAAATGAAAGAGGGGCCATCATTACAGATGCCATAGATATTAAAAGGATAATAAAAGAATACTATGAACAACCCTATGCTCACACATTTATTAACCAATTTGAAATGGACCAATTCTTTGCAAGACACAATCTGCCAAAACTCACACAAGAGGAAATAGACAATCTGAAGAGGCCCATATCCGTTCAAGAAATTGGATCAATCATTAACAATCTTTGAAAACCGAAAGCACAAAGCCTAGATTAGTTCACTAGTGAAGTCTACCAGACATTTAAGGAAGAAATTATACCAGTTCTCTACAATCTCTTTCAGAGAATACAAGCAGAGGGAATGCTTCCTAACTCATTCTTATGACACCCTCATTGCCCTAATGCCAAAACCAGACCG